ATAAGACACCAACCTATGTGTGGCTACAAGAAACTGGTGTCTGTGGTTTCCCAGGAATTACACTGAGTTATTTTCTTCCTCTTTTCTTGCATCCAGTGACTGACTGCAGTAACTGCAGCACGCCAAAGGTTAAGAGTGCAACACCAAAGGATAATCCTCTGGTATGGTGTAGACTCGTTCCAGATTTTTAGTTTTCTTAAACTCTTTCCCCTTCAGATTCTGATTTAAAAGAGGTCTTCTCATGTCAGCCCCCTAACCAAGAAACTGCTGAGTTTGTAATTACTCACTAATTTTAAGCAAGATGTTTAGATGTTTGATATTTTTACACTAACTAAGACTTGTGCTGGAGAAATTTCTCTTCAGCAGTCTGCTGCTTTCACCGCTCTCATCAGACGATAACCAAGCCCTGGTCCAAGCCCCTCCTCAGTCAGCAGACCAAGAACAACAAGAAGAAAGAACAGATGGCAGTGTGAGTTGTTACTTTGTTGCAGTTATAATAAAACTGTGTGTGTTTGTTTGAAAGTTTTAGACTCTATGTACGTTTCAGACCGCTCCACATCATAGTGCAAAAGTCCTCTTTATTTCTATTTGAAAGAACCATTGCAGGGCCCAAAAACACACCGGGTGAGCACGGAGGCCTTGGACCTACTCATTCTCAGACATTGAGTTAAACGATCACGCAGGGATGAGTCCAGAATCAACGGGACGAGAGGTCAGCATCAGCAAACCTTTATACAATTTTATTAGTAAAAATGGTTTGCAGTAAATCACATTGCACATTTCTGGAGTAAAACTGCACCTGGCACACTTGACATGAAGACAAACCGAGTTTTAATAAAATGGCCCTTACATTGAGTTTCTTTGCAGTTCTAAGGTAACTCAAAGGTTGCTTACAATATGACTTATATAGGACCTTAACATCCCCCCTGTGTGCATAATATCAAATAAATGAAAACAGCTGGTAGGGATGAGTTTTCTGAACGGTATGAGCTGGTAACAAGAGAACGTTTGATTTTATCAGCGAGGCCGTATTTTCTTGTTAAATTGATGTTGAAACTCTTGTTCAGGGATGCACTGTCTTTAAAACGGATTCACTGAAGGATCCTTTCAGTCGAAAATGTCTAAAAACAGTAACAGCAATACCTTGACCAGCAAGTAACCAAGATCAATTGAAAGGGGCAGGGATAGCTCTGAACAGCTACCCTGAGCCTCTGAGCTACCTCTGAGCAAGGTACCGTCCCTACACACTGCTCCCCGGGTGCCAGATTTGCAGCTGCCCACTGCTTCACTGAGTCAATGGGTTAAATGCAGAGAGAGTAATTTCCCCACGAGGATCAATGAAGTATACATAATTATTAATAAATCCTTTTCCACAGCTGAGTGTGGACCACTCCTGAACTTACTTTAGCTTTACAGAAGGGCTACAGAATAGCTAAAATCAGAGAGGTATGACACTTTGACAGAGTAATACTATATTTACCAATATGTCCAGTTTTCTCTTCACAATAAACTAAATGCTTAGGCAGGATGCTTATATCAGGGACTACCATGCTAAAAGGGACTTAGATTCGACCCTCACAACATAAAAGTTAAGCCTGCTGAAAGACAGATGGACAAACTTTGTTTAGATTTTAATTTGGAGAGCAAAGCAATCGTGAACAAAGCAAACAGGAAATCGTATTAAATTTTGACACAGAGTGTGTTGTATCTCAGCAGAAAAGAAGAATTCCCAACAGGTTGATTCTGCTCATCTGTAGCGTTTTCAGTGGGAGGAACGTTTCATCACTGAACCAGAATCACAGAGGTATTTATGGGCATTGACAGGCAAGCAGGATGTTGATGATTTTATAACAAAATCAGAGCAGTGGGCCTAAAAGCTGTGGCTGTATGACTAAGGATTGGAAAAAGCCAAAAGCATCACACGTTGTCTGTGAGAGAGTCGACTTATTCTGATTACAGAAAGTCAGTAAAGAAAACTGAGACAGGATGGACGGAGAAACCTCTGCCTCTCCTCACTTTTACCCAGGGGTGTCAAACATATGGCCTGCGTGCCACATCCAGCCCGCAAGATAACGCATCTTATGTGAATTATTAATGACTTGTCGGTATGTGGGAGTCGACTCTTCAGCCCTGCTGAGCATCCATGCAGGTATGGGTGGGTCTTTATTTTTTATGGCCAATGATATTGGAGACTACACAGCTGAGTGCAGATTGTATAAAATTAGGAGCTGGATGAAGTGTTATCCGTTTTTATTTTCAGCAATCTTCCTTTGTGGAGGACAAAGAGTTTCAAACTTGTCCAGGTCTTAAATCTCACGTTTGTTCTCCCTACGAGTAGTAAATGCATAAAATAAAGCTTTATAAACTGTACAACTTTGACACGGCTCAGTGTCTGAATGAGTCTCAGAGGCCCGAGTGTGCTTGAAGCCATTTATAATTCTTTACCTGATTGATCTGCTGCTCACCCCAAACAAGCACAAGCTGAAATTTTGGACTTTTTTTATAGGACTGGACTCCTTTAATAGTAGGCAGCTATCTGTGTATTAGTTATAGTAAGCAACAGTACATGTATCTCATGCAACAGTACATGTATCTCTTATTGATATAATTTTAGTCTGTGGGGATGAGTTAAAAAGTTAAAGAGTAATGAAAATGTAGAACATTAGCAAAACATTGCTTGATTTGCAAATCAATTAAGTTACTCAGTACAATACAAGTATCATAGTGTAATAGATTACAGGCTGGGAGGAGACACAAAGAGGGCCATCAGGACAAGCTTCTGGTGGAAACATCTGCCAGATCAAACATGCAGAGTCACCCGCCCTTGTGAGTGAGGGAGCAGCTATAAGAAGCTGCAAAAATCAGAATACTTCCTGTAAGTCGTTCTTTATCCGTCCTGTCCAGCAGTGTAGCAATAACGTTGTTGTCTGAAGGCCAAAAAATGCCAACAGATAGAAGTTTTCGACTTTAACTGTATTTGATAAACTAACCTTATGGTTTTTCATACAACACAAAGTAACCCCAGTGCCCCCAGTGGTACGGGGGGGGTGAGAGGGAGAACATCTAGTTTTACAGGATGAACCCTAGATGTTATTTTAATACAGACATATGGGGCATCCACAGAAATGTCAGAGTTCACGTCAGCATTTAAACAATTAAAGAGCAGGTAAACAGAGCAGGCAAAAAGATGTAAGCACAACAAGCATGGCTCGTTCGTCGGACGGCGTGTACACGGATACAGCTGTCGGGCTGAAAGCCGCCGTCTCACAGGTTCTGAGTCAGTCCAGCCCAAACACTGAAAAAACAAAACAAGATGTTTGGAAAACATTGTCGTGAATTTCGTCTATCTTCCACCACAGCTCTCAGTGTGCTTTGAAACCAGTTTCCCAACAAAAATCCCAGTTTTGCCAGTCTACCGTGCAGCGTTGTCCACTGCTGGGTTGTTTTTCTTCCCCATCAAAATGAACAGTGACAAGAAAGCCCAGTTTCTGTTACTCAATACTGAAGAAATCCAAACTTTCCCAAATGATGCCAGGTTCCCAAATGCTTAGCTATGTCTCCAACAAAACCTCTGAGACAGTTTTTCACTTTTTACTATAAACATTTCTTTATTTTTATGACTACAGTTTTGGGCAATGAGCTACCAGAAGGTTTCCTTGCTTTTAATTCTTACAATTTAATCCAAAGAGTCGTGCTGACATTTCTTTGTCACACCAGCTTTCTTTCATTCATGTAGTCACTTCTTTACACGGACTGTCCTCTAAATCTGGGCCACACTTAGGAGAAACAATTGCCATCAAGCTGGAAATACTCTAAGGTGATAAAACCACCTGCCTTGAATTCAGTTTTTTTATATCTATTCTGCAGAGAAAAACAATAAACTTCCACTCCCAGGTGATTCAGATCCATGAAGAATCCGATTCAACTCCTTCTGTGGGCATTTCATCAGGTGCGGGTTATATTCCCCACTCAAAGATGCTTTATCGTTTGGCACGTTGATCCAGGTACAAGGATACGAGATGTCGATAGCTGGAGCTTGTGTTATTTCTAACATTCAAACCTGCATTGGAAAGCAGTGTAACGTGAAACCACTCACTCTTGCTGACCCAACCATTATGCAGTTTCATTAGGTACACTGAGGCTACGTCCACACTAGCCCGGATAGATTTAAAAACGACGTTTTCATCTGAAAATGCTCCGCGTCCACGCTAGTGCTTTCAGTCGTTTTCATGTAGGTGTGCGTCCACATTCAAACGGCCCAAAACGCTTACGTTCCAGTCCTGTGCGAAAGCGAGTGAGAATTAAAGAATTTGAAGCTCTCTGGAGCATGCACAAACTAATATTAATCTTTTTTAGGGCTGTCAAAATTGAGAGCAATCAAAACAACTGCTGTATAATGCCCTCCACTATCTTTGTTTAATTGGTCACATGTAAATGGACTGATTCTTATATAGCGCTTTTCTACTCTCCCGGAGTACTCAAAGCGCTCTATACAACACGCCACATTCACCCAGTCACACCCATTCTCACAAGCACTACCTCTATACTGAGTGCTTTCTAACTACACTCACACACATTCATACTCCGATGGATGCATCGGAGAGCAACTTGGGGTTAGTATCTTGCCCAAGGATACTTGGCATGCAGACTGGAGGAGCCTGGGATCGAACCTCCAACCTTCCGATCAGTAGGTGACCTGCTCTACCTCCTGAGCTACAGCCACCCATGTCTGCATCACATGACTACAATACGTCATTGTTTTAGAAAGTCTGTGTTTTTGTGTGTCCACACGGTGACGGGACAGCTGCGTTTTGAAATGTATGCGTTTACGAGAGCGTTTTCAAAACGCTGCGTTTTTCCTTGAGGAAAGCGCCGTCTCAGTGTGGACGGGAGGCCAAAGCGGAGAGAAAACGATGTGGACGTAGCCTAAGTAGATTTCCCACCTCAAAGGGAGGGTAGCACGTCAGCTGGATGCACCGCCTCCGTAAGCTACCACTTACGGAGGCGGTTAGTGAAGATGGGGTTGTCAGACTGTCACAGCAATCGGAGGTCTCTTCAACGGGGGCTGCCATGCTCGCTTGATAATCTGAGAATGTGTAAAGGAGGGAGGGGGCTTAGGGGTGGCAAGGGGCACTGCTCTGGTTAACCACTGAGCTTTTTTAACCATTAAACTCTGATTATATCTAAACTGTTATCTAAATTTTAACCACTCCTGTGCAGGAGTGCTGCGTAAAACACACGACCTTTTGAGCTGCAGAAATCCTCATCCACACCTACACTGGTGTCTGGCAACAGGCACTACTTTGTAAGAGCAGCACTTGGTGCTTCCCACAGGTTACAGGTAATAACTTTTTAAACGGGTTACAGGCAGTTGTTCTTCCATTACATCTACATGATAAGTCAGTGTCGGCTGCTCTCTGCTCCGTGTGACAATCAGAGTCAGTATGTCCTAATCAGAAACCATCAAAGTGAGTCTGGCTGTGAGTGGTTTTCCCTAAGAGAAAATTATTCAGCAGTTTGAATTTCAAGTAAGTTTTACATAGCTCCGTGGACCTCCATGTGTTCAGCGATTAGACGGACAATAGGGTGCTGCACACAAGCTGTAAACACTTTTATGATGAGACACAGAAACAGATTAATTAATTAATAATAATAATAATAATAATAATAATAATAATAATAAACAGATTAGTTAATATGACTGGTTAAAAATTGGGGGAAGGCTGTTGTTTAAACTTGGTCCCCATTATTGTGGAGTGGGTCCATCCCTCGGGTCATCTCACGCCTTCTGGACATCTCCCTTTAATAAGACAGAGAACAGTTCACTAGGGCAACCATCTCTTGCATCTCAGCCCTGTAGAAAGAGATGAGGGGGGGGCTCCCCCTAACACCATGATTTATAGACATGTTTTCCTGTAGTGGTATCAGTGTACCAGTCTACTCCAAGCACGGATGTGGTAGTTTTCACCATTGGACTGTGTGGTATAGATGTGGCATTCAATAAAAGATAAGACGTAAATGTGTGATTAGATAAAATATAAATATGAGGTAATTGTAAAATATAAAATAATGAGGTACACATGTATTAAAGAATTAAATTAATTCTAACACAGTCCAAAAATGTACCCAGGTTTTATTTGGTAGAGTTCACCAGCTCTTAAATTAAATAAAAACATAACTCCCCCAGAATTTACTGGCCATTGTTGTTCTAGATTATTTTCAGCAGGCTTCTGGACCCTGCAGACATACATTAGATGCCTCTTTGTGCATTGCATGCTCCCTGTAACTGTTATCTGGACGAGCACTGCAGGGTTGCAGGATCTCTTGGCCATACTGGTTGAAAAATCACTTTTTTTAGCTGATTTCTCAGTTACATTTTTAGGCTATTTTTATCAATTTTTTCTGCATATTTATTGATTTTTGTAAATATACACATCTCCCAGTTTTGGGGGACTCAAAAGAAACTGGACAAACTAACATAGTTTTAAATGAGGAGTGTTTTTAATACTTGAAAATCATTTGAGGTCAATGATCTAAAGCCACAGTCATCACCAAATGCTGTATTTCCTTCCACTGACATGGTTTATTGTAGCTACAGTGGGGCAAAAAAGTATTTAGTCAGCCACCGATTGTGCAAGTTCCCCCACTTAAAATGATGACAGAGGTCAGTAATTTGCACCAGAGGTACA